TTGTATTTTGTTATTACTTAAATTAAATATACAAAAATTTAACTTTCATCACAAAAAGACATTCGACTTTAGTATATATGAGCTTATTTTGGCTAATGTTTACTTAATTATTTCTTTCCAAATATATACCACATGTTTCCAAGTTATTTCTCCCCATATGTTAGACCTTCCTTAATTATCAAAAATATTAATGATGCACAACTGGTGCATACAATTTTGTTTTTAATCAGCCTGAACTTCTTAATAAATATGTAACCTAAACTTTAACAAGTCGAGTAATCAAACCAACACCTAATCTTGTGGGTTAACATCCACGCATATTAATTTTATCTTATAGCTAACAATAGCAATGGATTCTTTAATCAATACTATCATTAATTCTTATTTACCCTAAATTAAGATCATGATTAATTTTAAAGGAAAATAGGCCTGATATTAAAACAATTACAAATTACAAACACCCTATTGTTTTTCTCTATCTCTTTAAGTTTTCTTAACACTTTACACTTTACAACCTACTGTTTTTCTCGTACCTTTTTTCTCTGCTATAGACATTCCTTGGGGTTCAACCCTTTTTCCTTTAGGAAAAAATTATTCCTTGACTCTGGTTGTCTATACATTAATTAGGAGACACAAGAAATATACAGATATAAATAAACAATTAATTAATACATTTATTATATAGTTTGTCTGTACTTAATTTTTTTTAAAAAATGTTTCAATAGAATATATAATTTTTTGTTATATTTTTTCTAATTTACTTATTTTAAAAATAAACAGTTTTGTGATTATTTATAATAATTTCTATTCACTTCTTAAATCGTTATTATTTTAAAAATGATTTATAATTAAAAAATACGTATTTTAAAACTAAGTAAACTTGTCCATTAAGTAACAAGAAGTTTAGAAAGAAACAAGAAGATATGAATGAAATAGTTGTTATTATGTGCAAAAATTAGGACCCAATTTTTAATTGAATATTTGGGAGTAAATTTACTTAAATTATGAGTACAGGAGCTACCTGGAGATGGAGAAAATATTCAAAGTATACGTATACCCAGACGGTGAGCTCCCAATAGCTCATGATGGCCCGTGCAAGGACATATACTCAATTGAAGGAAGATTCCTCCATGAGATGGAACATGGTCCAGGGAGGTTTAGGACCAACGACCCCAATGCCGCTCACGTTTACTTCTTGCCATTCAGTGTTACTTGGATGGTGAAGTATCTCTATACTCCACTTTCATACAATGTCACTCCTTTAAAGCAGTTTGTGTCTGACTATGTGAGACTCATATCCATGAGGCATCCCTTCTGGAATACAACTCATGGTGCCGACCACTTCATGCTTTCCTGTCATGATTGGGTTAGTTTAAACTCCCTTTCTTCCTTCTTTACCTGCTTGCTTCGGTTTTCTTTCCCCTTAACACAAAATAGGTATTCCGTAGACGGATAACAAATAATTTAAACGTCAATACCTTTTCCATTTGAGTATAAAAAAAATGAAGAACCCAGTCTAATAATATTATTATGAAAGAATTGGAATACAGCTAGTAGCTTTCTATTTTTCAAAAGAATTTCTCAAAGAATATCATCCATATCGGATTACTGTTTCTCATTGACTCTTGAGAAAGAGTTGCAATTTTTCATAAAGTATCTTTTCCATATATATAAGCCATAATGGAATGATGTGATTGCATTAATTAGTATAGGCACGTGTAATATTTGTTAAATAAATAAAAAATGATTGTTGACACTCTAAACTGCTATCCAATACTCGTTTACATTATACACAATAAGAGAGTAAAGAACCTAAAGGATAACGCCACAGCGCTTATAATAACCCAGAAACACTCTATATCCAATCTTATAATCCACAGCCAACTCCTTTTCAAGACTTGTTTTTTTCTCCTTTACCTATGTTCCATGAGGTGTTGAAGCATTTGTATAACTTGGAACTATCTTCTGGGAAATTCTTCTTTACTTAGATGCTAATGTATGCTTGAAAGAAAAATATAACAGAACGAGTTACATAAAATCTCTTTGGTTTGCATAACTATTCTACTGTCCTCTGATTTTCTGCAGGCTCCTCATGCATCACAGGGAAATCCCTTCCTCTACAACACCTCAATCCGTGTCATGTGCAACGCCAACACCTCAGAGGGCTTTAACCCTCGAAAGGACGTGTCCCTTCCAGAAATCCACCTTTATGGAGGCGAAGTCTCCCCCAAACTTCTCTCGCCCCCATCCAACAACACCCCACGCCGCTACCTCGCCTTCTTCTCCGGCGGTCTGCACGGTCCAATCCGCCCCAGCCTCCTCCACCACTGGAAGAACCACGACGCTGACATTCGCGTCTACGAATACCTCCCCAAAGACCTTGACTACTACTCCTTCATGCTCAACTCCAAGTTCTGTCTTTGTCCCAGTGGCCACGAAGTGGCCAGTCCCAGAATCGTGGAAGCAATTTATGCCGAATGCGTTCCCGTGATCCTTTCCAAGTATTACGTGTTGCCCTTCAGTGATGTGCTGCAATGGGAGGCGTTTTCGGTGCAGGTGGACGTTTCAGATATTCCGAGGTTGAAAGAGATTCTTAGTGCAATTTCCGAGGATGAATATTGGAAGCTCAAGGAGGGAGTGAAGGCTGTGAGGAAGCATTTTACACTGAATCGGCCTGCCAAGAGATTCGATGTATTTCACATGATCTTGCACTCTATATGGTTAAGGAGACTAAACATACAACTCAGATAGAAAATTTTCAGTTTTCTCTTATACATATTATAAACTCATCACTCTCTGCCCTTTAATACGAATCCCATGGATTCATTATTTGAACCTAAATTGTATTTTCCAATCTAACCCCCTCCTTTCCTTTACATATATATATATATATATA